CGTGACCGATACAAGCCGATAGGGAAAAAAGATACAAGGGCACTAACTACGGTATACAATGGCAACGCCCGGGGTCAAAGAAATATTGCTCTGCCATGGTTCTGGAATATGGCTGTGGCTGATGATTCGTCGGGTTCAACATACATGGAACAAGGTCAGATCCAGTCACTTTTATTACTCTACATGAATTGAAACCAGACAAATCAAAGTATATCGGGTGAATTGGCTCAGAGCAAAAGCTCGATATGACCGGTGGTCAGAAGAGCATACCTTGATCCCAAACGAAATGAACTGGACCCGCCTCTATTTCATCAACAAAGCAAGGGAGTGGGCTGGGCTGAGGGACTTGGTGCCAGACAAGCCGGGACATGTATGCTTTGCCGAGGGGCAAATCAGTATGTGGAAAGAACTGGCCTTCCAGGCCACCAAAGAATTTATAAATGCCGGGGTCATGTGCGAGGCCATTGCATTACCTAATCCTAGTTGAATCAAACTATTCTTTCTCATTGTCCACCATGTATGCAAAAGAACACCTGTCATTTGACCCCCGCCGAGCAGAGCAATGGGTTGATGAGGTGCTGAAGATACGGCCTCCAGCTTTTACCAGAGATTCTTCTGTAGTGGCTAATCTCCTCTGGAAGGACGAGCAAGAGTTCCAGGAGGTACTCTGCTACTGGTCCTCTCGATTCAGAGCCATTTTGACATTGAAGCTCGAAAACCCCATTGACCCCGAGTTCGAGAATTGTTGGTTGGAGTACATGTCGGCCGAACAGGTGAGCTTTATTTTGCCGCGCCCGGCTAAACTCATTCCTTTGGTTAGGGTTTCATTATAGCGACTCTCGGCATGGCATGCGCCTATGGGCATAAAGTAAAACTTTGCCCCAGATTTCTTCTCTTTGAGCTCACCTTCCTGCCAGTTTATCGTCCCTCCCTTTTTGAAGTCCTGTCTCCAGGGTAACCCACTGCACCCTCAGGAAGCCTTCATGGATGACCGTATCCGGCCTGCATACGAGTTTGCGTGGTGGAATACTCGCATCACCTTTCCACCAGGGGGCGTCGACCAACTTCTGAAAAGGTCATACAATTGGTTCAGATGGATGGCAAAGGGTGGTTTGCCAATCAAGTACCCGGACACTGACACCTCCACGCTGACACCGGCCGAAGTTCAGCACATCAAGACCCAGTTGGAGAATGCTCGGGATCGTCTCCTTGAACGTATCAAGCGTGCTGAGGCCAAGGAAGAGTGGGTCACCAATGAGATTTCGGTTTGGGAGGAAATTGTACAGCAGTCTGCTCTTATTGACCTAATGAGGTATCACAAGAACCGGTTTTCAGCACATAGAAACCCAGGTGGAGAAAGCCCGGGATCGGGTTCGTCAAGCCCCCCGTCTCCTTGAACATATTGGTGCTGAGGCCGAGCAAGTTTGGGTCGGATTTCTAATTCATTATTTATTAGTTACCAGACAAATTATATATCAAGTCTGCCATGGTCAACCACTGAGGCCTCTTCACCCCAAGCCTTTCCCCAACCTTTTTGTGCCAAAAGTGAGCTAAACAGGCCCGGTCACCCAGCACAGGACAAACACCATGTTGTAAAACATTGCCGGCCAAGGCAACAACCGTCCCAGGGTCATAAACAAGGCTAAACCCGAGCCCGGCTAAGTGACACCGGCCTCCTGTGTAGTTTCCGATGGTGAGCAACAAGTCAAAAGACTCCCTATACCCCTTTAGATCTCGGTGATCGATCGTCTCTCGGTTCAGGATGACTGAAAGACCGGTGAAGGGAGTGGCCCAAACGCGAAGAGCAATATTGATAGGATCGTCCAATGCCTCGGCATGATTGGCAAGCTTCTCGAAGGTGGCTAAACCGGACTCAAAAAGATCGGGTTGTATGACGGCATAGATTGCACCAACAATTGCATTGGCCAATAGGACATTCTGGAGGTAGGTTGAATTGGCAGGTTCCTGAATATCGGCTGACGCGCGCAGTGGATCCTCGGGACCTTCATGTCCTTGAGAAAACCAGCTGGGTGATAAATTTACAATCCCAGTGACCCCTTCATTCTCGGGGTGGTGATCCCGCCAACTCCCATTACTTCTCTTTTTGGGGCTCAAAGAACCTGTGTGATCCCAAATAAATGTCTAGTAAAGTGAGGAAAGTCTCAGGGTGTAATGAAGTGAAAGTAATTACCCGAAGCTGTTCTGAGAACATTTCAGGAAAGTACCAAAGTAAAATGTGACCCTGCCGGTCGGTTATATGGCACGGTTGATCGAGGTAGGGGATATCGGACCCGGCTGTTTCGTAGATCGGTGGGAATCGTGCCAAGAGTTTCTTCTCCAACTCCTCATTGCTTCCACTCTGTCTCGGTGACAAGTCCGCAGCATAGTCCCGGACGTCCCAAGTAGTCGTATCTGTCCAAAACTTAGTGAAGATCGGCCAGCTAGAAGTGAGACATACATTAAGATTTGAATGCTTCTTCAAGCATGTTAATTACCCTTTCAACAGATGCTTGGGCCTCCGGCTCCAACCATGGTGGTGGAGCAGGACGAGGAACGCTTTGGCTATGTAAAGACCGCAACCGGCCTCTGAAGTATCGAGCTAGATCCCTTGTATATTGAAAGAAATCGGGGGCAGTCATGAACAAAAAAAAAGATTTTTGACACTTTTAACTGGCAAAACATGAGGCTCGGGCATGGATTTATTTATTACGTAGAACAGGGACGTCTGTCAAAATGTCAGGGTCATAACTGCCATTAGGATAGGATCGTGGTCTTTCCTGTCTGGTTGCACCCGGCCTTTCAGATCAGTTCTGCTCATCCGGGCTTTCAAACAAGACTCGACATGAATTTTTTTTTTAAGTAAAAAGATACAGGTGGTAATGGTATGACGTATTAAGAGACCCGTGTTACGCCACATGCCCTTTCATAATAGGTGAAATGGGGGTTTGGATAGAGTAAAAAGGATGTACGGTAAGGTAACCCTCTCGCCGTCGTCATCGATGATGGTCAAGAGTATCGTCCCCTAATCACCATGTTAGTGGGAAAAAGGAAGTACAAAGGGGATTGCTCACGTCTGGCAACCTGCCGGTGGAGTCTACGGTTGCAAACATGAGGCCACCGCTACTCATATTATACCAGACTCGGGTTCCTTTCTGACGAATCATCAGCTGGTTACGACCAATGGAGATGTACAGAACCTACGGGGTAGGGGTTGGGTGGAGGGATACCCAACAGACTCCAGATTGTCATGGGGGTGAAGTTATTCATGTCGCAGATGAGGGGGGTGAAGATGGGTCCTTGAAATGCGAGAGGGTTTTTAAAGGGGGAAACACACATGTTTTCAGGTTAAATTACAACCCTCGATGCAACCCTATATCAGAAGCATAAATGATGGCGGCACAGGCCTCGAGGCCAAATTGCAAAAAAGAGTTGAAAGAGTCATAAACATAAGCATGGCCGGGGATTGAACCCGGAAGCTGGGGATTGAACCCGGAAGCCAACTACCATTAGACCATGCTGGCTTCCAAAGATTGTTGGTAAATCTGGGATAAGGGGTGAATTCTTGATTTCGTACTCCAATTGGTCTCATGTCCGGGCCCAGCTTGAACTGTAGTTTAAATGCCGAACAAGTCAGTGCTGAGTTTATAGGACCGGGTTCAATCGCACCCGAACAAGTATTCGACATGGTCGTCAGCTAAGTTACATTTTTTTGCCGGACTTGGCCAGGCACCGGGTTCACCCCCCGAACAAGTCACTGCGCAGAATTAACTGCTGCTATTAGAGTGACATGGTCGGCAGGTAAAAGATACTGACCGACATTGTCTTCAACGTTGGCTTGGCCTAGTAGTTAAGCTGGGAGGTGTACGTAGTATATGTATGTATGCCCTGGGTTCAAATCCCGAACAAGTCATAGATTCGCGTTTTGAAAAGTTTTTTACTTACTGCAGGTAAAAGATACTGACCGACCTATGTATGCCGGTTTAAATCCTAAACAAATTTTTTACTTGCTGCTATTAGAATGACATGGTCAGCAGTTAAAAGATACCGACCAACATTGTCTTCCACCATTGGCTTGGCTTAGTGGTTAAGCTGGAGGTGTACAGAGTGTATGTATGCCTGGGTTCGAATCCCAGAAGTCACTTACAACGATCGCAACTCTTTCGTTTTTGTAACTCTGGCTAAAATTTACTAATCAATTCTTACCGAGCTTGCAGACCCAGGTTAGTTGTCTTACGCTGGGTAAGTTACAAAGTGCCGAGCTTTCAGGCCAGGTGGATCATTGACTTGGCTCAGTGGTCAAGGTGGGAGGTGTACGCATTGTATCTATGTATGCCCTGGGTTCAAATCCCTAACAAGTTATGCTGTTCATCCTAAACAGTTTTTTACTTACTACTATATTAGAGTGACATGGTCGTCAGCTAAAAGATACTGACCAACTTCCTCTTGCAGTGCTGACTTGGCTTAGTGGTTGAGCTGGGAGGTATGCCCTGGGTTCAAATCCCAGAAGTCACATAGAGCGAAGACGGCCTTTTTGTAACGCTGGCTAAAATTTACTAATCCAAGGCTTGTAACATCCAAAGTCCCAAGAACGGGTAGTTGTCTTAGTTGTCTTATGCCGAGAACGGGTGACTTACAAAGTGCCGAGCTTG